GCTAGCAAAACAGCATATGTCTACTTCTTAATAGCAGATTTCTTGTTTTAAAGAATGGAGAGCTAGACATATATCCAAGTAACTCAGCTCGGGCCACCACGTCTGGGGAACCCTGGGGTCTTGGCAGCACAAGTGATCATCATTTTGTACTTTGTGGCACTGGCCAAACCCAGCTGGATTTTTGCTACACTGATTTTAACAGCTCTGCACTCACGTAATTCAGTGCTTTAAAAGGCCATGTTTTATTTGGCACTGATGCTTTCAACAAACTTACAGGGACTGTTGGCCCCAGGAGCCAAAAGCTGAACCTGTCCTGCCACAGCTCCTGGCTATGTCCTAATTTCCTCTTCCTTCTTCTCTTCTGCCGTTTCTTCCACCTCTTACTTTTCTTCTTCCTCCGTGTTTTCCTCCACCTTTTCTTCTTCCTTCTCTTCTTCTTCCCTGATTGTTTTGACAGATCATTGAGTTCAGACAGTACATCACACATAAGGCCTAAATTATGAGCAAATTCCATTGACGTCAGGCCATTTGTACATCCAGTGAACTTGGCTCAATTTTTGGCATCTCTAAGCTGTGTCCATTGGAGACACAGACGAGTGCCTTCAGGGCAACAGAGGCATTCCAGATGGTAGCGTTCAGATAGTCTCCCTAGCACACTGCCTCCCATCTGGGCCAGCGCTCGGAATGCCATAGGCCACTCTCGGCACATCCCCACAGCTGCTGTTGACTCTTGGAAGGAGGGCAGCAAACACACTGTGACTTATCAGGGGAAACCTGCAGATGATTAACTCTGGGCCCATTATATGCTGCATTTCCTCCCAAGTGGACTCCAGGCTGGGGGTAACAGCAGGGTAGGAGAGAGGGCAGACAGAATGGAACACCAGGAGTTTGGCAACAATTGTAAATGTTTTCTCCAGCAAAGGAGACATAACAGTAGGAGAAAAAAAAAACAAAAACAACAAAACATTTAAAGATAGACAAACATGAGTTTAGGCTCCTGCTATTTCACTCATTACCTGTGTGAACTTGATAGATTGTGGTAGATATCTGCTCAGCATTCTTTCCCACCCCCCTACTTCTGAGAACAGCAGCCTCTTTCCTTTAGGGCACCCCTTTCCTACTTCATATGGCCTCAGCGCTCATACCCTTCTATCCCAACCCCATCTTTCTCCCAAGGAGTGATAGTATGCAGTGGGGCCAATTACAGCATCACAGCTCCCTGGACATAGCATATAGGCAAACAGTTAATACCAGCCCAAGGTAGTTCTTCCTTGAAAGTTTTCAAAATTTCTATATTGGATCAAAGCTGTATAAGAATGTTAATATCCTTACAACTCCAAAATAAGGGAGAGAGGAAAATAGCTGTCATTCTAGCTGGGAGAAATGGAGACAACCACATTCAAAAAGCCACACCTCCACTTCTCTGAATCACTGCTACCACTACCTAGATTTATGGAGGCAATGTGGAATTATACATATGTGAATTTTCCTGGCAGCTGAAAGTTATCCATCCAAGGGTAAAAGGACCTCTTTTCTTTTTTTAAAGCCATGTTATTTGCTGACTTTTCTAAAATATTTCATATATTTTCATTACTTTTTAAATTAAAGGTACCACATTTAACCTCTTCTGGATGACTTAGGGTCATCAAAATAAGCATCAGTTAATAGGCTGTGTGATAACAGGGTTTGAACCTTTTTTTTTTTTTAGACTGTTCCAGCCTATACTTTCCAGCTCCTCTGCTTACCCCAGCACCACAGAGCAAGCTCCCAGCAAGAATGAACTTGAGGTACCCTGGCCTCATTCATGGCCAAGCCCTGATTTTCTTCCTGTTGTGTAGCCCCTTTCCTGATGTGTTCTTGCATTCCGCTGGCTCTGAACTTCTATTTGCTTCCTGCTTTAGTACAGCAGTTTCCCTTTAGATTTCACCTGTGATACAGCAGCTCTGCGACTGACCTTTGGTCCTCTTCCTCATGTGCCATTTTGCCTTTGCCCTTGGGCCCTGTTCTGCCTCCAGCTGGCAATTGTACTGAGCCAGGCTGGGATCCCATGACCAAGGAATCAGATGCTACTGTTCCTGTCTCCTCTCACATGGTTAAATGGACTGGGATCATTTATTGCCAGGACAAATAACCTTACACATTACAGTAACCCCCAGAGTAAGATTTAAAATAGCTGGAAACAGGGGAAGGGTTATGGAAGATGTTTGTACTACTGCGGAGGGCATATTGTAATTAGGCAGCATAGAAATCAGTCTTCTAGGAAGCATCAATCACCCTTTTTATTGATTAATTGGTTTACAAATGCTTCTTTGGAATTGACAAATATACAAGCCTGACAGCTAGGCTTGATTGCCAGCCCCTATCTGACTCAGGCCTAACTTTCTCTTGTTCCCTTCCTGCTGACCCAGGCGTCCAAGGCTGCCAAGGTTACAACATTTTCTTTCTGCTTCAACAAGCCTACCTCTTCATATACATAAAAGTGGTTTAAAAATAGTAAAACGCGAAAATGCATCTATATGTATGTTGAAAGTGGATCTTACACTTGCCAAGGGTTAAAGGACACTAACATGCTAAAAGTATCATTCTGAATGAATGATAAAGCTGTAGAAACATTGCAAAGGATGGATCATTGTCAGATTAAGTATAGACCTTTCAGCCCCACTTTAAGAACTCCAGAGAACCCTGGCCAATCCTATGTTCTCATTAACCCACACTGAACTGCTGCTCTTTTCTTGCTTCTTTCATATGGAGCCCATCTGCGTATCCTGACACGGAAAACACATAAAAGCCCAGCCTGAAGGCCTCATCTCTGACATGCAGGCAGAAATTTGCCCCTCTCTATCTATCCGTCCTGCTTACCCCATGTGCTGTTCTGCCTATCCTGGCTCTGTGATCCCATGGCATACTTAGGGCAGCGTTCCCCATTCCTAGCTGCACATTGGAATCCATCCAGACAGCTTTTACAAAATTCTGATGTTCAGACCCAAACACAACCAATTAAATCAGAATGTCTTGGGCTGGGGCCTAAGCATGGAATTTCTCCTCCCAATATTTTATTGAGAATATTTTTAAACAGGCAAGAAATTTGAAAAAATTTATAGGGTACCCATATACCCATTACCTAGATTCAACTATTAGTGTTTTATTTTATATGTCTATCCATCTTGTGACATTTGATAATCCATCTTTTTTGTGGATACATTTAAAAGTAAATTTATTACTGGGATGAAGAGAGCAGGCAATGGGTAGTTATTGCTTAATTGTTACAGAGTTTCTGTTTGGGGTGATGAAAAAGGTTTGGAAATAGTGGTGATGATTGCACAAGATTGTTAATGTAATTAATGCCACTGAATTATACACTTAAAGATGGCAAATTTTATCTCTTATATATATTTTCTAACCCACAACGAATAAAAAAAAAATAAATGCAGATAATGATGTATTACTCCCTGAGCCTAGATAGTACGTGTGGGGGTATTTGTTTTTCATTATTCTTTATACTGTATATACATATTAGAGATATCCCATTTTATCTTCTGAGCAAAAAGAATTTTAAAAAGAATGAATAGTATCCTTTGCCCACAGGAAAATACTTAGGTGGTTCTCTCTGTTGGGAACACCTACCTACCCTCTTTTCTTTACTGGTAGAAATTCTACCTTTCTTTAGGAATTGGTATAACTTTTCACCTCTAAAGAGTCTCTCCTTTGCTACTGCAGGCACCATAAATCTTTTCTTTTGAATTTACTTAATATCTTCGCCATTCATCCTAGCCCCAGATTAAATCCTGTTTCAATACATTTCAGATAGAGAGGTAGCATGCAGGTACTGGTCTCAGATCCATTCCCACCTTTTCCCTGCTCTGCTCTGTTACAGCCTCACATAGGCTGTCAGGTTCTTTGGCTTTTCATAGGTTAAAGCAATTAAGAAGCATGAGAAGAAAACTGGACCCTGGGGAAAGGGAGAAGCCAGACTATTTCTCACCCTCTCTTTCCCTGCTTCCTGTGGAGTCTGGCAGTGTCCCACTCGACAGCCCCTCCCTTCCTGGTCCCAGCTCTACTTGGGCAATTCCCTCAGTGGTTTTCACTCCCTTTGCCTGACAGCCCAAGCTTCTTGACTCTGGTGACACTGTCTTCTCCCAGTGTCACTTGTACAAAAAGAAGAGTGACTTCCCAATTTTGCTGGTCTGTGAATTGTTTCACTATTCCCTATTTGGCTTCTTCACTTTTCCATTTATCTGTGTAACCAATCTTCTGTTTAAAAAAATTCCCTTCTTCTGAAAGACTTGTTTCTTTTCCTGGCTAGAGCCCAGTCGATGGTGAAAAGAGTACAAGCTTAGAAGCTGGAGAAACCTAAGTTTGAATCCTATTGCTTATTCTATGAACTTGGGCAAGTTACTTAACCTCATTCTGTAAACTGGGGGTTATAACACCTACCTTGTTCAGTTGCTATGCATGTTAAATGGCATACCACATGGAGAATGCCTGTACCCTAGTTGGAACTCAATAAATGGAAGCTACTACTACTGATTTATAAGTTCCTTGACATCGTGGCCATTTTCTTTCCTTTGCGCCCCAGTACTTTACTTAAAGGTGTTTACCATATTACTGCCCCTTAAATTTCATTTCACTAGCAACTTATTAAGTGCCTGCTATGTGCTAGCAATTGTGTTAGACACTATTAGAAAACATGACGAAAATATAGGCTTTGCCTTCAATGTGCTTACAATCTAATGGAAGTGAAAGAGGTGACAACTAAGTCTACAGAAAGGCAATTGGACGAATACACCAAACTGAGGCAGAAGTGACACTGATGGGTACATGGTTGAAAGAATGAGTGAGTGTGTCTGCTTAGGAATATCAGGACAACTTCAGAGAGGAGCGGGCACTTTACTGCCTTGAATGAAAAGAAAACTTCTAATAAGCCAAGAATGAGGGTAAGGAGAATTCAGGCTGAGGGAATGGCATGAACTAAATGGTGGAGCTATAAATCATGCACTTACATTCGAAGTGCGATTCAGTGCCTCTAACAGGAATATGTGGAGGGAGATGTAGAGGGAAACCTTAAAATCCTTGCCAGTTACTGGGCATGGACTTGATCCTGTAAATAAAAAAACAACAGAAATGTTTGAGGAGCAGGACAGTGATTCAGTCCAAAAGTAGCTTAAGAGATAAAAATGAGAGAGTTTGGGGGCCCATTATCAAGTTCCTACTATAGTCCTTGATATAGACAAAACACTTGTGGACTGATATGGAAGATGAGCAAGAGGTTTAATTAAAATAGGTTCTATGACAACATTTCTCAATCTATTCAGCAGAATAGTGTCTCATGAATAATGACAATAGCAGTTATAGCTAATTACTTTTCAATGTACTTATGCAAATGTATATATATAATATATATATATTCCTCACCTTGGCCTATAATTGTAATATAAGGCTCTACATGATCTGACCTGATGACTTCTTGGACCTCATTTCTATTCTTCCCCTTGCTCATTCTGTTCTAGCTCTATCAGCCAGTTTTCTATTGCTTGACTAGGCCAACCTTGGTTCTGATTCAGGGCCTTTGCAGTTGCTATTCTATCTGCCTGGAGGAATTTTACTAGGGACCTTTGCTATCTTTACATAATCTGGAACCTTATTTATTACCACCCTCCTTTATGCTTACTCTCCTTTAGGCATTCACCTTCCTTGCCCTTCCTTAAATGCATCAAGTGTGCTCTTGCCCCAGGACTTTTGTACTTTCTGTTTCTTTCTGCCTAGAATTCTCTTTTCTCAGATTTCTACATGGCTCACATCCTCATCTCTTTCACATCTTTCTTTGTTTATGTGTCACCTTCTCAGTGAGGGATCCCTGTAACCCTATTTAAAAGTTTGAAGTTAAAATTAAATATTCTTTCCCTTTTTTTCATTTTCCCCATAGCACCTAACCACTTGGTGTATTCTATGTTTTCCTTTTTATTTTCCCATATTGGAATGTGAGCTCCACTAGGGTAGGTATTCTTGTCTAATTTTTGTTTATCGCTCTACCCTAGTGCCTAAAAGAGTTTGTGACACATAGGAAGTGCTCAATAAACATTTGTTAAATGAATGAGCGAATGAATGGATAAATGACTCCAGTTTCTTTGTATCTCAGCAGGCTCAGATAAAATGCCTTCCTCAGAAATGTCTTGCCCAACTCTCCCACCTAAAGTAGCCATTCTCATCCTAGTAATGCTTTATAATATCATTATGTTTTATTTTTCTCATAGTATTCATCATTATCTGAAATTATTCTATTTATTTACTTATTTATTGTCTGTCCCCTCCCTCCGCCATTAGAATGTAGGCTCTGTAAGACTTGGGACCTTGACACACCATAGGTATTCAATAACTATTTGTTAAATCAGTGAGTATACACAGCAGTGTGCTGAAAGCTTCACATGGATTATCTCACCCACTCTCACAGCAACTCCAATTAAGTAGCACTATTAGACACCTCCCCCTTTTCTCAAATGAGAAAACAGAGGTTTAAAGAATTTACACAGCTAGAAATGGTAGAACCCAGATTTAAACACAGGCAGTTTGATTCCAGAACTCATTTTGAGTTAGTTTATTTAACTGCAGGACTTCTCAAAGCCTTCTGAATCTAGAGAAGAAAAGCATATGCAACATTGCCCAAACTTACTTGATCACAGCATCCTCTTTTTTTGTGGAATGTTCCTAGAGTTTTATAGATATACTTTTGGAAATGCTGCCATAAGGTTTATAGCCCATTTGACTGGAAAGTTGTTAGTGCTTTATTTATAGATCAGTGACATAACTCCATTGTAATCACCTGTGACCTAACGTGCCTAAGAGAGATGGTGGGATGAAAGATTTGCACAAAGATCACCTTTCTTTCAGCAAAATCTGTGACTTCAGTATGTGGTCTTAAGTAAGGCAGCAGAAAGTTAATTTTGGCCTGTAACACAAAGGAGCCTACAGATCTCCAAAGGGTGAGTAGACATTGGTGTTGTTTACTCAACATTTATACTGTGTCTTCCTCTTTTCTAACAGAACCCCACGTCTGCCCTTGTGATTCACCCAGCCTCCCTCAGCCTTGTGCTTCCCTAAGCCAATCGCTTTACTCATCAGTGAATGGTGTAGAAATAAATAGGTTGCCTCATGCAGTTCTGGTCAGTGGGACATAAAGGCAAGTCTGCCCAGGGACTTCCAGGAAAGGTTTGCCTGTTCATGAAAAGAGATACATAGAAAGAGATGTTAGATAAAGCTAATATTAACGATGAGAATGGCAGAACAGAAAAATGGAAAGAACCTGGATTCATGGTGACATTGCTTAGCCAACTTACACTCTCACCTGGACTTATTATGTGAGATAATAAATGTTTCTTATAATTAAAGCCATTTTCTTAGGTTTTTCTGTTACTTGTCACCAAAGCATCTCAACTGATACAAGTGGGGAGCAGCACCCCTCACAACCCCTCCATGTGTGTACACAAGTCCGAGTGTGAGCATCTGGAAGGAATATTACAGCAGCAAGGGAGTCTAAATAAAGATATCTATACCTCTTTGGGACAATATATTAATGAACTTTATAAATTGGTGGCACAGGGAATGAGGGGTTTCAGCTTTATATTTCAATCATGTCTAGACAAAACATGTAGGTTCCCAGACAAAAAATAAATTAGTACTACTTTAACCCAATATTCACTAAATATTTGTTCAATATTTATTCAATGTGAATGAGAATATCTGATTTTCTTTTAATTAAAATTGTAGACCACTCTGTTTGTGTCTGAAATAAGAGATTTGTCATACATGTTGACTATAATATAAAATTTTAACTTATTTGGAATTGTTTTTGCATAGCAAAGTGTTAGTTTCTAGTTCTCATTCATATTAAAGTTAAAGGTAACTTATATGGGCATAGTTATTATGGGTCCAAAATACGTATAAAATTACACTTTCAACTTGTACAAGGTGTTGAAATACAAATGGGTCAATGGTGCTGCCTAAATTGGCAGGGATAGGACTTGTGTTGGAAGCAGACATGAGGGGAGTAATTGACAGGTCAATGGTATGATACTAGAGTAAAGATCCTCATACTACAGCTAAGAATTTTAGGGATTCTTCCTGTTCCTAAACTAGGTTCTAGCATCCTGGATGCCTAGCTACATGGCTATCCCTGGGTCTTGTGAAATTGACACTTGAAACCTGCAAAAGCTGCTGTTCTTCCACCTCAAAACACGAGGCTACCTGCACTATTGCCTGGGAACCTCTAGATATGGCCTGAAGAAGATGTCGACCCTGACAGACTAGTCTCTTGGGTTGTTGGCAACTCTAGGGGAATGAAGGCTCAATAAAAATAGAACAAGGTATTCTTCTTGAGCAGATAATCCTGTCTAGATGCTCCCTTTGGGGAAAATCAGATTGTCATGGGCTTTGGAATCTGATTTTAACAGATTTTTAGATGCCTTAAGGAGCAAAAATGAACACTGCTACCCTACACCCCATGAACTTGAGCAGGTAACTTGTCCAAGGCCACACATCTAGTAAATGGAAGAGTGGGAATTAAAATCCCAGTTGTCTAACTCCCAACACTTGTACACAGAACCATTTTGCTAAATGAGACTTCTATCAAAGTTCATGCCAAGTAATTTCAAGCATGGGAAAATATTGTGAAGGGCTTGCTGTCAGAAGAAGATAATGAGGCCAATGCCTACCCCCACCCTTCATCATTCCCCACATTTCACTTTTGCTCAAAATTTAGTCAATCCTTTTATTCTCCATCTGAGCATCTGTTGGTTCCTCACTATAGATACATGACTTCATGCTTCACACCCAGCATAGCACACATAGGTGAGTAAGTCCTAGCTCAGGTTCAATGAAACCACCCATGAGGGCACATCTATTATTTAGATCCCTCCCATTAGAGGAAGAGGATTCAGTAGGATGGAGGAGCCTATGAACCGCTAAACTTTCATTTAAGAGGGTATCTCAGTTACTATGATGGAGATGATTTCCCAGAACTAGACACATGGGCAAAACTGTCTTGGACAATGAAAGGTCTGGGCTATCACCAAGCTATTTGGGAGTAGCAAGGAAAGTTATCCTATTTATTACCACCTCTCTGGGACATTTGTTTGAGAGAAAAGAGTAGACCTTGTTTTATATTCTCTTCTTTGACCTGGTACATACACTAGGCAGAGAGCCAGGTTTTCCAGGTCACTTTAGACCTTCAAAGAAAGGTATGAAAGAATGATAGCTATAGAAACTTGTTTTTATATATGTATATATGTAATTATCTTGTAATTTTGTAATCTACAAAATGCTTGAAATTTGGCCTTTTTTTTGGCCTTTTTTTTTTTTAATCTTAGAGCAGCGATATCTGGATAGGTACTAAAAATGGCTGTTGATGCAATGAATGAGGTGGTGATAAAATTTAAATATCAATAAATAAACTTGGTGGATAAGACAAGAGGCTGTAGATATTGATCTGAAGTTCACAGAAATAGAGAAAGACAGAATCTAGCCTGCATCGAGTGTTAGTTGCATTTGTACTGAAAGCAGGGACAAAGATGGGGAGTGTTTCTCATGGATTAGGTGTGGGCTCAGCAGAAGTGAGCCAGCCTAGAGCCATTTCAGATTTTACCCAAGAGTTCTGCTGAGAAAGGTGAAGTGACTCCAACAGAGGGTAGGTTTACCTAATTTCTACTGCTATGGGAGGAAACATAAGTGACCAGTTGAAGGTAAATGTTTCACCCACAGGACAGGCCGTTCAATGTGGGGGCTTCCAAAGTAGCCATGAAAGCATCCATGAGAAGAATAGTCAGCTTTGTTCAAACGAACATCAGCCAGAAAGAGTTGGTTTTAAACATTTGCCACAGCCAGAGGTAACCAATGCCAGATTACATCAGTGCCAGTCAGGTAAGACATTTCCTGCCTCTTCTTATTCCTCTCCCTGTTTTAACCCCAGAGGATCCGGAGGCAGCCTGATGGTAAGGAAGGAGGAATAGAAGCACCAGGTAGGGAAATAGAGAGGAAGATAATGCTTTGTCAAGGGGAGAAACTTTAACGTTAAGTGAAATTTGGAATTTTGACTCTTATACTTAAATT